CCCCAGAGTTTAGCAGAGCTATTTCTAGCTCTTAATGATACATTTCACCATCACTTCATGGGGAGTTTGGAGAGGCGTGAAGGCGGGACTGTTCTGTTATGTAACCCATTTAAAGTAGGAAATTAGCAAGTCCTGAATGAATTCTGTCACTGTGCTCCCACTTCTGGAAAGTTTGGAGCGACTACAGTTCTATTTTGAGGTGAGCAAATCCATCATTTATAGAACCTCCTCACAAATACCACAGGGCTTCAAGTCACCCTGAAAAGTTTCATAACAAAAACAGTTCAAGTACTCGGGATGTTGGAACATTTCGTTTCAAAACCTTATTAGCCTGAACAGTGAGTTGGGGAAAGGCTTCCTCGTTGCCAATTATTCAAATATGCAAATATCTAAGAGGAAATAAATATGCATCTCCCATCTCCTTTTCTTCCCCCTCCCCACTTTTTTTAAAAGTCCAGCAAAATATTCTGGTCAACAACATGAAAAGAAATGTCTGTTTTTTGATGGAGCCGTTGGCCATGAAATAAATGCTGAAGCTATGAAAGCAACGTCTTGAGACTGGGGCAGGGAGCACGCTGGGCCTGGCTGGTCACAGCAAACGGCAAACAGACCTGTCTTTCAGTCCTCAAGTTCCCCCTAGTGGCTCGGAAGGAGGAGCGTCTACATACAAGCGGGATTTCACTGCAGGCAAATGCAGGGACCTGAGACTCTGTGACACAGCATGCCCGGTTAAGGGAAAAGCACCTGTCTTCCTTTGGTCCAGGGAAGCCACTGTCAGCGAAACACAGCTAAATTACAATTCTCTTTCTAATCGATAAAGCTGAGAACGGCCCCTCCAACTGAGAACGGACCACAGGAAACCAGCCGTCCCCTGCTGCAAAGCGCTACTCACTAAGCCTCTTGGCCAGCAAGGGTGCAAACCTTGCTTCTGACACACAGAAATTCACCCCCCTGGGCCCCTTTACAGACACGTGCTACTTTGGACGTTCTGGGTAGGATAATCCTCTGGACAAGCTGTCTTACTCAGCATAGGGTTTTTAGCAACACCCTTCACCTGTAAGCACCCCTCTCCCCCCACCCCCCACATGGTAATGACCGAATATATCTTAAGATGTCCACCATGTGCCCCTTGAAGGACAAAATCACCCCTGGTTGAAAACACTGGATTAAATTAACAAAATATAATGCTCCCTGCTTCCTACATGATAGCTTAAAAAACTCTTCTGCCAGAGGGGAAGGGCTGGCAGGTTCTCACCTCCTATGCACAATGTGAGGGTGTCCAGCAGGTCCCCTGGGTGAAGGGCTCAACTACAACTTGACCTTTACCTTAGAAATGAAAACAATGTAACCTAAACATTTGTAACCTCGGATCAATCTGAAATTAAAAAACACTTTTGTGCCTCAAACTTAAGTGACTGTGTTCCCCAATCTTCCGTCCCTTGATTAAAAATCAAACAAAAGAACAGACTGCAAAGTCATCAAGGACCCTGTGTATAAATACAATATGGATCTTATGGTTTCCAGCTTAGTCTCCATTTATAGCATCACTTTATGAAATTCTGACACGTCTGAAATGGACAACAGCACAGGATAATAAATGACATGCATTGATCTGGAGGTTTTTGCCAAGATCAAAACTTTTTTTAGACTGGGGGGAAAAAAGAGCTCTTTACATTTTATGGTAGAGAAGCACAAAATAGAAGCGTTGTAATAAAAACGTCTTCGTTTTGACACCAGAATTCATGTCTCCTGCAAATTAAAGTAATCCCCCGAGGCAGAAAGTACACAAGCTTTATTGGGCAACAGCAATGGGCCGTGTTGGCAAACAATGAAAGTAGAATCCCCGGGAAACACGAGAGATCACATGTGCGTCGTCACAGAACCGAGAATCTAAATCATCTGGAAGGGTCTGTTAAATTAAAGCATCCCGCACCGGAGCTTCCCCATCAAAGACCGCTGTCCTGCTGCAAGTGTGGAAGGGGGGTCACACAGAGAGAGGGCTGCTAACGGGGAAATAGTGGACTCCTGGAGGAATTTACAGTTAACCTCACTGCAAGAAATTAAGAAATTAGCCACAATTTTTTTTGCAAACACCATGCCCCACCCCCATCTGACCGAATAAACACGACAGTCACTGGCATTATCCAACTAGCAGACTGCACCGCCAACCGCGTTGTGCTGGAGAAGACAGATGCACAGGGACACCACTCTGGCCTGAGAAGACACTTCCAAGCTGCAGGTGAGGGACACTGGTCCACCTGTGGGACGCTCTGCATTTCCATTGAAAAAGGTGATTTTTTTTCCCCTCTAAGAAGGACTGGACATAATAGTAATATTTTAAGTAAACAACAAAAAGCTTTACATTAAAAGAAAGAGAAATAAAATCTGTTGAATTTACAAAGCTCCTTGCATATTTTTTAAATGAAAACAAAGCTGGGAGGGGTAGATTTTTAATGCAATGAAAACCAAATACGTCTTCAAAACCTTGCAATGGTATCACATGCTCACACACGTGGTTCAAACACACAAAAGAGCCCAAAGCAGCAGACAGATGTCTGCTTCGCAGAAACGGAGCAGAAGACGATGTAGGTCCCCCTGGCGATTTTGGCAAAGGTTGAAAATGCTGCCCCTAAAGGCCTGAGCGCTTGCCCAGCCCCACCCCAGTAAGAACGAGACTAAGGATAAAAACAAGAGTCTGGAGGAGAAAAAAAAAAAAATAGCCACTAACATTTCAATTTCCAATGAGCACAGAATTTGAAATACATTTAAAAATATTGTCAGTACAGGCTATATTTTCAGCAGGGAATAAATCGAGGAAACAGCTATAAAGAGAGGATGGTATTTTTAGGATTACTGCTAAAAAGTAAAAAGGGTCTCACTGCAGAGGAGCAGGACAGGGATGGGAATGCAGCAATGCTCGCTAAGAGCGGGGGAAATCCCAGCACTTGGCCGACCAGCTCCAGCTGCAAACAGGTGGTTTGCTCCAACTTTTAAGATGCTGCCGGGATGCCTCCGGACAGCTACAGCGCCACCTGTCTCATCAAGTGCCACAGGCCATAGTTGTGCGCACACACGCTCTCAAAGAGGGGCAAACCCATCCAATTTAAAAAATTATTCAAGGTGGAGAAATATGTCTGGTCATTTTCTTAGAGAAAAAAAGGGGGGGGGGCGGCGCCTGTGGCTCAATGAGTAGGGCACCGGCCCCATATACTGAGGGTGGCGGGTTTGAGCCGGGCGTTGTGGCGGATGCCTGTAGTCCCAGCTACTGGGGAAGCTGAGGCAAGAGAATCGCCTAAGCCCAGGAGTTGGAGGTTGCTGTGAGCTGTGACACCATAGCACTCTACCGAGGGCAACAAAATGAGACTCTGTCTCTAAAAAAAGAGAGAGAGAGAGAAGAAAGGAGGGAAGGAAGAAAGGGGGAGAAAAGAGGAACCAAAGAGATCCTCTGCCCTCAACACAATTATAATCAAAGAAATAAGAACAGTAATAAAATGGCAACAGAAGTGCTTGTCCTAGCAGACATAGCTAGTGTTGTCAGAGGGCACGCGGAAGCTGTGATTTTTATTTAAGAAGTGTTCAAACTGTGCTGACGTGTGCCTACAGGCCCCCTGTGACCTCAAATTAAACTGGCTATCTGAGAGTTAAGTCTCAGTGAGTTTCGAGGGTTCAATGGTCATCAAGGCTCTTTCCAGATTGATGAACTAAGGGAAAGGTCAAACAAATCCTTACACTTAAGGCTTACCAGCTCAGGAGAGGTTCTTATAAAATAGCTCAGGTTTCTTTTTTTTTTTTGAAACCTTCCCCCACAACTGAAATCACCCCTTGGAAGTGCCTGAACACTCCTGGGTGCTCTGCTGGGATGACAGTCCGATCTGTGCAGGTGAGGGTCATGCACTCTCAAATGATGACACACACCCCAGGCCTTGTGTTTCCCATGTTTGAGAAGTGCAGTGTGTGCACTGCTAGACACTCAGGGACCCTCCTAGTGAGTAACACTGGCAGGCTGCCCGCTGGCAGGATGGTCGGAACCATGGCCGTTTCCACTTGGGTTTCCCTTAACTGGGTCCACCCATGTGTGGCTGAGACAATGGAACAAGGAGCTTTGTGGAGGACACTGTCCAGTGCCTTCGACTTTCAGGTGTGATTTTTTCAGCCTCTCTTGAAAACTGTCTCTCTTTGAGATGTTGAGCAGTAACTTGTGTGTTGGCTTTAAAATTCAACTCGTGTACCTCAATCAAAATTGGGAATAAAGGAAAAGACCAGAGAGACCATTTTCATTCCTTACGTCTGCTGGAAACATCTAACATTTCTTAACAACGGTTCTCCATGACCCACCTGCAGAAGCCATCACCTGTCAGGGTTTGTGAACTATCTTAAGACTCCTAGTCTTACAGGCTGACATTCAAGAGGCTCAAAAGCCTTGAGCACAACTTTCTCCTCCTCTACCTTTGAAACCACATAAAATCACTGGCTGAAAAAGTGAGGCTTGCTTGACCTTTCTCAAGTTTTTAGACAAAGATCCTATTCCTAAAAACAATCACTTATTCAATGCAATATTTCTTTTTTTTTTTTTTGAGACAGAGCCTCAAGCTGTCCCCCTGGGCAGAGTGCCGTGGCATTACAGCTCATAGCAACCTCCAACTCCTGGGCTCAAGCGAGTCTCCTGCCTCCGCTCAATGCAATATTTCTGTAAACCTTTTCTCTCGGGCAGAAATGGCTGCCAAAGTGCAGAATTCCTGCAAATGTGCAGGATCTTAAGATAAAATAGAAGTAGTGTCCACAGCCAATCTGTCAGTGCCTACAACTTGACTTGTCATTTTGGAAAGTTTTAAATGGGCAACACAAAATACAAGAGCATCTCAAGAGTGCTTCAAGGGCAAGGGACTGTCAGATTCTTGTGTCCCCAACCCTCCCAAAGCAGGTTTTTCCAAGGGTAGGTGGTAGGCATCAGCAACCAGGCTGTATATGCATCTCTGAAGCACACAAGTAGTGTCACACCAGAAGTTTGAAGGGTATGTATTCAAAACAGAATTAATCATACATCCAAGATATCAGCACACTCCGCTCTTGACCATCTACCAACTTAACCCTTATGGCATGCACGTGTGGCTTCTACAAGAAGGGACTTAAGAACCCAAGAATGCCTTGCTTTGCCATGTCCAAAGCTTGGAAATGCCCACCCATCTTCCTCTGAAGCAAGAAGCCACGCTCTGTTGGAAACCCACACGCATGTAGTCCATCCTGGTAGGAGAGGAATCCTTACTACTGGCTGCCTTTCAGCAAGTTCCTCTTGAAATCTGCAGGCAGTGGAACAGATCCCAGATCCCAGAGCTGCAGTCCGAGCCTCCTCCCACTGGGGCGCCTTGCTCTGAAGGCGGCTACCGATGAATGGGAGCGTGACAAGATGGCCCTGCCTTTGTCAGTTCATCCTCAATAATTCCTCCTAACAGGAAACAGATTTCTGTGGATGAGAGAAGAGCCCCCGTTCCCTGACCTTTCCGCTTTGGAGCCGGAGGATCTGAGTCACATCTGCCATGTTGTCTAAAGAATTAGTTGAGTCTCTTATCACGCTGTCGACACATTTAAGGGCTGCTCAGCCGCACATTCCCTGCTAAAACAACGCTGCTGAAAATGTCCGAGGGTGTCCTCAGAGAGTCACTGACTTTGTAAATTGTTGCCAGGTCCTGATAAAGCGGGATCACACTTCTGAAATTCTTTTACGAGGTGGCAGGTGAAGTTAACTCAAGTCCTACAGCTGTTGAATCAGATCAAGGAAAACGGGCTGGATTTATGGCTCTCTCTCTCTCTCTCCTAATTTACTTGTTAACATCCCAGCCAGCCGGTGTAACATGGGTAAGCAGAGCAGGGCTGCCCAGAGAAGCTATTTCCAAACAGAGATTACTGTTTAGATAATTTTTCACCAAATGTCACCTTCTTCTCCTCCCACACCTATGCTAAGCACTTTTGTCTTTTCCTGACATCCCTTTTTAAGAGCGAGAAAAAATTAAAGAGTACACACACATTAGGACTGTTAACAAAAAGAAAAAAAAAAACAAGCCTTCTACCACCTTCAATAGACAAAAACTTTTATCACACAAGGACAGAATTCAAGTCATAAGGAAGCTCGCACAGGGACCCACACCCATCTCCCAGCCGAGCCGCCAGTTTTAATGTATTCACATTTGCTCACATATGAACGACCAGGGGTTCAAACAGGCCCAAGCGGGCACCTCTCAGGAACCTCCTTCCTGTCCGTTCAGCGTGAGGGCTCCATTTCCGTGCACGGCTCATCCCATCAGAACTGCACGTGTCAGCGATCCCTGCAGAATCCACAGGTGGCAGGTAATGCAGATGGAACGTGAACTCCCTCGGCACAGAGACCAGGGTCCCCTCTGCCAGCGTACAGCCTACGACGTGAGCTTCGAGTAGCTGGGTGGGGAGAACCGTCTGCGCAGGTACTTGAGGACGTAGAGGGGCAGGCAGCTGACCAGCGTGATGACCGAGACTTTCCACAAGAATGACAAGGTGGCAATGAAGTACACATCTGCGAGCAAACGGGAGGACAGCGGTGAGCAGGCAGGAGGGAATGTTCTAGAAGGCACGTGTGATCTTCAAACAGGTACCACAGCTACTGAAGGGAAAGTCGTCTCACATCACAACCCCCTGGCTTCCCAGCACTGGCCAGAAGCCCTCCCTCCATCGACCTGGAAGGGGAGGGACCTGCTTAGTGCACAGGGGATGCTGCAGGCTGTTCTCAGCTTTCTCTTCCGCAGCTTCCTGATACTCTGTGCGATGCTATTTTCAAACACTGGGAAAAGAAAGCTAGCGTGGAGAGAACAGCCTCAAGGTACTTTTGATTTGAAGTCTGACAGCTGGAGACTTTTTCTAAGCCCCCAACACCAGAGAGAGAAAGTGACATTCAAATGCACATTTCTTCTTCCAGCAACTTCTTCCCTTTGCCCCAGTGAATCAGGGAAAGCCACGGGATGGATCTGAGCCCAGGGGGATGGGGAGCCGGGGGCTGCACAGTGGACTGAGACGCCCCCTGTTACACACAGGATTAACCTCGGGGACTCTGACCAAAGGACAGGGTGCTCTCTTTTCCCTAAGGAGTGAGGAGGTCTTTGTAGGATAGGAGTGACAGCTTGTGGTTTTCAACACAGCGAAGCCAGGATGCAAAATGCAGCTGCTATCAGCAAAGCACCTACTAAGTGCCAGGCCCAGGGCTCAATCCGCTGGGCGGTTTTCCTGTGTGCCCTGCACTCAGCCCTGTGGTTGGTCCAAGTCCAAGGGAAACCACATTTCCTGAGGGCAGGGACCATGTCTCTGTGACCCCCTGCGATCCAAGCCCTTGAGCACACAGTAGGTACTCATAAAACCTTTTCTGAGAGGCTGGGGACAAGTAGGACACTGTTCTAAAACCTTACTTTTCATAGGGATATTCTTTTACCTTCACTAAAACCTTCTTGAGGAGATTTTAAGGCTGATACCGAGTCATCATCAATGATGCTGCCCTAGTAAGGTGGAGTTTCTTAGCCTTTCTCTCATTACTCATCCCTACGGAGCCTTTTAGGCTATTCCCCCCCCCCCCCAATCGATCATCTCTATGAGATGTCAATGCCACAGGTATACTGTACATATGTTTATAAAATTGTACCTACATCTGTACTTTATACATACAGGGAATAACATCTGTTCACATCTGCTCCGTTGGTGGTGGGGGCCAAAGGACCCCCAGTGAGAATGCCTGTAGCAAAGGCGCCCTGGCCCCTGCTGGCCTCCAGGGGGCGTGGGTGTGAGCCTAGAACTGAAAACTTCCCCCCTCCCCAGAGGGGGGTCGTCTATCAGCCTTGTGAAGGGAGATAGACATCTTGGCTGGGAAGGAGCCTCAGAGCTGCCTCCCCACTGATAAAGGAGAAAACTCACCCCAGGGTTGTTTTTTGTTGGAGTAACGCAGACAGAAATTTAATGCTCCTATTGAAGAGGAAAGATGTGTATGAGGCATTACAAAAATAAAGAAGGCTATCTGCTGCCTCCTAGCTGGGCTTTCAAGCCCATGACCCCTGGCCTGGAAGTTTCGGAGCTCAGACAGGCTTGAATCTGCCCTGTGCCTGGGAAAACCAAGATTAGAGTCTCATGAGACTATCCCCAGCAAAACACAGAAAATGCCGGGTCATCTGGACTGTGCCCACGTTGAAAGTTTATGACGCTGAGCTGGAAAGAGGTTTCTGGATGGGAACTGGACCCACGTCAGCAGCAGAGTGGTTCCAGCATAGCATGGAGATGCTTTCCGTGGCCCCACGGGGACTCTCAGCTCACAACTGCTCAGTAAGCACTGGCTGAACTGGACTGACTTGGGAATACTATAAAGCATGTGAGAGGTTGGCGTGGAGGGTGAAGGACCCAGGCTTGTCCATCCGGAGACAGTGGTTGATGAGGGACAGCTGAGAGTGCCTGAAGTCACTACTGTGCTCAGAAAATCGGCCCCCACCCTCCCTTCCCAGTGGGACCTACACATTCCCATTTGTAAGCTTCTATGACATTTTTTTGTTTGGGGTCCTCCTGGGTCTCCACCAGCTGACCTTGTTTCCATCTCTTTGTGGCTTTGCTCACACCTGGCACTCCTGAGCTTACAAACTCATCTGTGTGTCGGCTATATGCGGGAAACTCCAAGGAGAGCCCACCCCCCCGTCTGCCACTGTCACCCTGGCACAGGGCAGGTGCCCCTACATGTACATGGCATGAGCAGTGCCACTGCTGACGGCACTTGTCATTGTGTGGCTTGGTGGGACAGGGCAGCAGATTTCACTCTGAGAGCCATGGAGTCCCCTGGAGAGAACAAAGCAGAGAGGGGGCAGGAGGAGGGCAAGGTCCCGGAGCTCCCACCTCCACACTGCCGCCTCTCCCTGCAAACCCACTCCTATCAGTTTCACGGACTGGACTTCGGACTAAGAGTTCATGGGAAAGGGGGTTTTGACGCAAAAAAAAAAAAAAAAAAAAAACTTTGAAAAGTCATCAGCTAAAAAGGCTATTGCTGTCTCCTCCTATTCCCCAGGGTGCTGGACTGTCATTTACTCAAGTGAGACCAGGGCTCCATTCCCTACAGCTCTTCAGGCCCCAGCACAGTGGGCCCAACCCTGATCCTGCCACTGAATTAAACAGATTTCCTTCTTAGCTCTGTGTGCCTTTAAAAAAGAAAACCACGCATACACTTCACTGCACACTGAAGTCACTACTGTGCAGCCTCACTCCTCAATCACGCGCGCTGGTTTGCCTCGGCCTCATGTCCTGGGTAAGAAAATGCAGGCAGCAGAGTGAGAAGAACGATGGGAAGAGCCCAGCTTCCCTCCATGGGGTGGCGAGACCTCAGGGCCCCATGAATCTGGTGCAGGGATGTCCAACTACAGCCTTTGGCTGGCTTTGAATACTTACCCAACACTTGTTTTGGTCCACACATTAAATACACAAATACTAATGAAAGCTGATGAACAAAAAAAAAAGGCCCATGCATAATTTTCAAAACGTCCAATAAATGAATGCCAGCTGTGGGCCCACTGTCGGACACCAACGCATGCTCAGGACTCTCACCGATGAATTCGTGGAGGAACACCAGGGAGGCGACGTAGCAGGCCAAGCTGAGCAGCTCAGCCACCGTCATGAGCCAGTGCCAGGTCTGGATGGTCAGCGCCACCATCAGCAGCTCAGTGAGGATAAGCGACGTGAAGGAGATGGCCACGATGTGCACGAACTCCGACTCGAACAGCAGCAGTGCTCCATACATGATGGTGCTCCCTGGGAAGGCCAGAGCAGAGAGTCTTCCTGAGACCTCCCCGCCAGGGGCCCACTCTGCCCGCTCACACTCGGCTCCTTTTGTTAATTTTTTTTTCAGCAGGAAGGTATCGTTTCATATGGGTAGTTAATGACAGGGGCTCTCTGGAGGCTTCGAACCTATGGTTTTCCTAGTGTCCTGTTTGACCTTAGAGAATAAATAATCTAGTAACTGTAGAGAGACAAAGGAGGAGAAAAACAAGATGGAGGGAGAGGTGGAAAGAGCGTGTCGAAGAAGGAAAAGGCAGTTTGTTTATTTTTTATTTATTTATTGTTTTGTGCAACTTTTGGCCGGGGCTGGGTTTGCACCACCTCCGACACATGGAGCTGGTGCCCTACTCCTTTGAGCCACAGGCGCCGCCCCAGAAATTTATTTTTAAATTTTATTTATTTATTTATTTGAGACTCTATTACTCTGGGTCCCTAAAGTACTGTGGCATCATGACAGCTCACAGCAACCTTAGTCTCCTGGGTTCAAGTGATCCTCCTGCCTCAGCCTCCCCAGTAGCTGGGACTACAGGTGCCCCTCTGTAACACCTGGGTAATTTTTCTATTTTTAGTAGAGACAGGGTCTTGCTTTTGCTCAGGCTGGTCTTTAAACTCGTGAGCTCAAGCAATCCACCCACCTCGCCTCCCAGAGTGGGAAATAAAAATTAAATACCATATTTTGCCATGTATAATGAAAACTTTTTGGCCTACATTTTTGAGGGGAAAATAAGGGTGGACATCATATATGGGTGGTATTATTTGTTGCCCAGTACATAAAATTCCTGGTACCTTGTATCTGCTCTTGTGTTTAAGAATTACTTGCTACATAAAATTTCTTGTACATAAAATTTCTTTAAATTCATTTAAAAATAAACTCTAAGGGTGGCACCTGTGGCTCAGTGAGGAGGGCGCCAGCCCCATATACCAAGGGTGGTAGGTTCAAACCCAGCCCTGGCCAAACTGCAACAAAAATATAGCCAGGCGTTGTGGCGGGTGCCTGTAGTCCCAGCTACTTGGGAGGCTGAAGCAAGACATGGAGCCAGCTAAGCCCAAAAGCTGGAGGTTGCTATGAGCTGTGACACCACAGCACTCTACCAAGGGCGACAGAGAGAGACTCTGTCTCTAAAAATTAAAATAAATAAATGAATGCTAAAATTTATTAATAATGCCAAAAGCACCTAAATATAAACTAATAAAAATTTGAATTAAGAAATTTAAATGAAAGATTTTTTTTTTTTCCTGAAAGTCTGGGCCCAATACCTGGCTGCACATTCTGCACGGGAGCACATTCCACACAGCCAAACACAGTTTCTTACTTAAAATGACAGAGGCAGCCAGTCGCAAAAGGGCAAATGCCTAACGACTCCACCTACAGGAGACATCTAAAGAAGTTGAGTCCCGGGAGACAGGGGGCAGAGTGGGGAGTTGAGGGGGAGGGGAAAGTGGAGCCGTTGTTTCCTGGGTGTGGAATTTCCATTATGTAAGATAAAAACTCTCTGGAGATCAGTCTCATGACAATGCAAATATAACAAACATCACTGAACCAGACACTGATCAGTGGGCAAAATGGTCTGTTTTAGGATAGGGGTTTTCACATCCCCTCCCCAATACACAAAGGATAGGGGAGAGTGAGAGAGAAGCCTGGAGAACTCAACTTATTCTGTCTCTTGTTGATGGAAATGTCAGCAGCGTGAGCACATGACTCAGAGGAGGCACCAGAAAACTAAACATGAAATCCTCAGAGCGACTCCTTTTTATGAATGGGGCTGAGGTTGGAGGAGTGGACGGAAGACCCCCTGCTGATTATAATAAATGTTCATGCAGGATGTGCTTGTGTTAACCAGTGTGATATACTTCTTAAAAACACCAAAATAAAAATTTTAATGGTGGGAGGCACCTGTGGCTCAGTGGGTAGGGTGCCAGCCCCATATACCGAGGGTAGCAGGTTCAAACCTGGCCCTGGCCAAGCTGCAATAAACTAATAGCCAGGTGTTGCAGTGGGTACCTGTAGTCCCAGCTACTCGGGAGACTGAGGCAAGTGAATCGCCTAAGCCCAGGAGATGGAACTTGCTGTGAGCTGTGACGCCACAGCACTCTGCCGAGGGCGAGGGCAACAAAGTGAGACTCTGTCTCTTAAAAAACAAATTGAATGGCAGCTTAACCCTCTGTCACCATATTCACTTATCTCTAAACTTTTTGATGGCATCGCCCATCAGTAAAAAACATCTGGAATAAACTCTAAATATAGATGATGATTTGTAAATTACACACGTACTTGTCCACATAGAGATAAGAGGATCACTGTACAAATATATTACGCGCATTATGAGTCATGTAGAAAATGGGAATTCTAAAATAAGTGGGGAAAATACAAACAGAAGCTTTGCTATTTTCTTCTGATACTCCAATAGGTCATTTGACAAGCCCCTGCAGTTTGTGGGACCCTCTCTGGAGGCCAATGTAACCGTGTTAAGTTTTTCAACAAACTTCAACTTGACCTCACTCTGAGAAACAATATCAGAATACCCCAGAAAGTAAACATCTACCGTTACAAGGACGGAACAGCTCGGCAGGCTGTGATTAGTACTACTTTTATTTTTCTCTGATTTTACTACGTCATTAAACAGCTCTGCACACTTCTGACTTCCCCTGTGCTAAATATCTGGGTCCTTATATCACACTGAGCAGGTGTCCCCTGGGGTACAACGGTCATGCCGCTCACTGCTGTCTGAGGTTCCAGCTTCTTCTCTTCATGCACTACACACAGAAAAGGGATTCGCTTGGGTCAACACCAGAACACACAACAAACAGGTGGCCCCCCCCCGTCCTTACCTTGATAGATGCTAATCAAAACCCATATCAAGAATGTCTTGTAGGACAACGGTCGTCCCTAAATGAGAGACAGAGAAAGGTCAGCACAGGCTCCTCCAGGTGGCTGGGTCAGTGTGCCACCAGCCTTCACCGCTATCTTCCCACTAACTATCTGCCTTCGTCAAAACAATGGCTTGAATACACACATCTGAATACATTAGAAAAATTACATTTTTTAGCAAAGTGAACTGACTTTAGATAGGAATAAGCCTTCAGTAGGAACCCCTTGAAGATAAACGGAGCGATACATGTGCACACACTCACACTCTCTACACACGCTTGTTTTAAAATGAACAGAAGAACATTTCCAGGAGCAAACCCAAGTTGCAGTCATGGCTGGTTTGCTTTCAGTTTACACATTACGGTACGGTGATTCTCTACAACAGGGCACAGGTTACTGTCTCAAGGAAAAACAGAAACTGCCATGCGTTCCCCCCAAAAGGAAGAAAGCCTCTGGTTCAAGTGCGTTCAGATCAGAGAGAATCTGTGTGAAATAAACTAAATGGAAAAAAGTAGGGAGGGAGGAAAGGAAGAGAGGAGGAGGAAAAGAACAGGGAAGGGAGGAAGGAGGGAAACGGACCTTAAGGAGATCCTTGTAGAGCTCAGGATACAGCATGGCCACTTCCGACTTCACATCTTTGTCCAGGACCAGGGAAAATACAGGAAACATGGTATAAATCGTGGAGTACCTAGGAGAGAAAATCGCCCGGGTGAGACCCAGCCCAGGGGATGAGAGCAGTGTGCCGTGCCAGTCTCTGAAGCCTGAGGCCATTCATTCCTCCAGTAATGATTGATTGTGTGTCTACTATGTGCCAGGACTGGCTCTACGCACCAGAGACTGACCATGAGAAAAGGATGGACTGTCTGCCCTTGAGAGCTTTAGTTCTGAGCCAATAAATAAATAAGTAAACTCTATTCGTGTTAGAGGTAAGTGCTAAGAATAAAAATATAATGGGGAAAGGGCCGGTATGATGGCTCATGCCTGTAATCCTAGCAGTCTGGGAGCCCAACGAGGGGGGATAGCCTGAGCTCAGGAGTTCAAGATCATCCTGAGCCAGAGTGAGACCCCAGCCCTAAAACAAAAATAGCCAGGCATTGTGGTGAGTGCCTGTAGTTCCAACTCCATAGGAGGCTGAAGCAGAAGGATCACTTGAGCCCAAGAATTTGAGGTTGCTGTGAGCTATGATGTCCCATCACTCTATAGAGAGTGACAAAGTGAGACTCTGCCCCCCCCAGAAATGTATTTACACACACACACACACACACGTATAGTGAGGAAGAAAGAGTAAGATGTGTCGGCATGTACACGCACACACACACATGTATGGGGGAGGGGATGGTGGTACAATTTTAGAGAAAGTGGCCAAAGAGTAAGATATATTTTTCTTTTTAAAGATAGGGTCTTGCTATGCTGCCCAGGCTGGAGTACAGTGAGTATTCTTGGGTGTGCTCACAACTCACAAGAGTCTTAAACTCCTGGGCTTAAGCGATCCTCCTGCCCCAGCCTCCTGAACAGCTGGGACTACAGGTGTGTGCCACCACACCAGGCTGTGATAGGACATTTGAGTAAACACCACAAGAGGTGAGGGGCAGCTGTGCCAGTCCTGGGAGGAAGAGCCCTCTAAGCAGAGCAGCAGCCCTGAAGTCGGCGTGTGGCTGTCACGTCTGAGCACAGTATAGAGGCCAGCATGGCTGCAGCGGAGGGTGAGAGGACGAAATGAGGACCCACAAGGACATCCCATGCAAAGGGGCACGCAGCCCAGCTCAGGGAACCCGACTATCTGGCACATTATTTTACTCTTCTAGGACCTAATAAAGGATAGTCCACCTTCCCAGTTATAAGCAGGGAGAATTCCGGAGCCTGCTCTCAGGAGGAACTAACTGGCCAAACGCAGGAGATAGAAAGTGCACGCTGTAGACTCTCCCAAGCCCAGCCAGGCAACTCCCGTCTCCTCCCAACCCAGTGGGGGCCCAGCCCTGTGCATGTGCACCTGGGGGGGCTGGTAACTAGACTCCACCTGCCGGGGAATTCAGAGACTGAGCACTTTCTATGAAGCAGACCAAGGGAACCGTGTGAAGTTCCAAGTCGGGAACAGGAACATCATGTGAACAGTGAACATCCGGCTGGAACATGGAGACAGGACTCTACCGGGCTCAGTCCCCGCTGGGAGGGCATTTTTCAGATTCCCCTTCCCTTTTCCTCCAGTCCATGGACCTCCTGCCTTGTTCTCCTCCATCAGCTGCTAACTTCACACCCTCCGGAGTGAGGGCTTTTTCATTACTAAGTACAAACAGCAAAGTGCTGTGGACCACAAGCCCTTCCTACTCTTACTTCTTCACTCTGGTTAAGGGCTTAACAGCCCCAAACCTTATTAACTCAAGGAGGTTCGAAAGCTGGGCCTGCCTTTACCAAGCCTGGAAGTCCAAGAGGACTTGGGGACCCAGGAGCCTCTAGACCAATGGTTTTCAACCTTCCTAATGCTGTGAACCTTTGATACAGTTAAAAGGGGTCATGACCCACAGGTTGAGAACCACTGCTCTAGACCATGCTTCTTCTCTTTTCTGTGCCATTTTAAGGGGGTTTCATTAAAAAAAAAAAAGAATCAATCCCTTGCCTGGATTTCCTTACCCAATGATGAGGAATCCTTGATAGAGAGGGACGGAGGCAAAGTAAAACACAGAGGAAAAGACAGCCTGTGCCAAGGAAAAAGAGAATGTCACCAAAACCATAACAAAAACTCTGATATGTTTATAAAATAAAAATAACATGTGACACAGACACAGCACGTACCACATGCCAGCACTGCTGTGAGCTCTTCAGATGTATTACCCCATTTAATTCCCACCATGACCCAAGGAACTATTATCATTATGCCCATTATTCAGATGAGGAAAGTGAGGCTCAGAGAGGTTAAGTGCCTTGCCCAAGACTACACAGTACAAGCAACAAAGCCAGGAGTGACCTAAGTCATCAAGCTCCAAAATCTGCTCTCAGCCCCTTTGTGAACATTTATGAAGTTCCACGTGCTGGACCCAGGAAGGCTTTGCACAAAGTGCCGAGAAGCTCCAGAACAACCCACAGGTTCAAGTCCTACTGTTACCCACATTTTAGAGGAGAGATTGAGCAGGTCAGTAGTCCTACAGGACTCAAGCCCGGCTCTGCCTCTCCAAAGCCCACGTTCCCCAAGGGTTCGAGTCCCTGCCCATCCGCAGGGACATGCTGCCAACAAGGTGGCACAGGCACAGAAACCAGTACGGAAAAAGGGCCTCCGAGGTCTCCAGGCCCGCTCCCAGGGAGGCTGGGGCGGTGGAGCAGGCTTCTCCTCTTACATTACACGTGTCAGTATTTTTAGAAATTTGTAAAAGGGAACATGACAGATGACTTTTGCAATTAGACAAAAGCAAGGGAGGTATTTACAAACCCTCACAGAAATGTCTGCTTCCTCATTTGGACGATATGAGCTCCTGGCAGTGAAGAACGGCTGGGGAGAGGGAATCACACCCAGCGCGCTCTGTCAGCTCCCTCTCCGGACATCTGCAGGCCGACAGAAGGAGAGCGGCCTCCCCGCTCATTTCTGTCAGTGTAAAACCCAAGGAAGGCCAGGAACAGTGCTGCCTAAAGGCTTTTTTCAAAAACAACACACTGAGAGGAGGCTGGGCCACCCTCGTAATTAGAAACAGCGTCTCACCAGAGCCGACTCCGTGAAGCACATGTGCTCGCTTGGCACAGCGCTCAGAACACAGGTGTCACTGAGCACCACAGCCACGGGGAGCCCCGGGCTTGCCCAGGTCCTGACTTCAGAATCAGGACCAGAGAAGGCACCTTTCAAATGACTTCTCACCCAGGCAGAACCACTGCACAGGAAGGATGGGTGTAATACATCAAGAATCTAGTTTTGATTCTACCGTGCTGACCATAAAGCCCGCATTCTGACAAAAGCATTTTTGAAGGGGGAAAAAAAAACCCACTGTGTCCATGTCTCTCAGACACCAATGTCCAGGGGAGATTTCATCTCAGACTTGCTCCCATGCAGCCACTTTCAGCACAGTGGACAGGGGGGGAAAGGCAATTTTCTATAGCACAAAGAATGACGCCCCATCCTGGCATGCCTTTTCTGCATCGAGGCAAATGCTACCACGCTGTCATCGCAGAAGTCAGCTCATCCCGGTCAGCTTTCGTGTATCTGCCCAGGGACGGGTTGATTAATCTCCCCAGTGATTAAAACCACGGCATTATCCAGTTCGACTGATGAGCTAATGTAAATTAAAAATACAGATGTGGGCTCGGCGCCTATAGCTCAACCGGCTAAGGCGCCAGCCACGTACACCTAAGGTGGCGGGTTCGAATCCCCAGCCCGGACCCGCCAAACAACAATGACGGCTGCAACCAAAAAAAAAAAATAGCCGGGTGTTGTGGCGGGCGCCTGTGGTCCCAACTACTAGGGAGGCGGAGGCAGGAGACTCGCTTGAGCCCAGGAGTTGGAGGTTGCTGTGAGCTGTAATGCCACGGCACTCTACCCAGGGGGACAGCTTGAGGCTCTGTCTCAAAAAAAAAAAAAAAAAAAAAAAAAATACAGATGTGGTCTGATGAACTATAATAGCTGTTTAGGTTTAGAGCGTTTTGATGAAAATCACTTTAAGGCTCCTCCACTCACAAAAGGAATACATATTCAAAACATAAAATCGCCCCCCCTAAAAACCTGGGGGAGGCCACTGAAGGTGAATTCTTATGCATGTAAAGCAGCACCCAGCTGACACAGTCTGTCTAGCATATGATTAAACACCTTTCTTATAAATTAATGTCACCTGATGTTTATGTATTGTCCTGTTTCCCTTCTATTAGTAACAGTGAAGGTGCCTGAGCACTGAAGCCTTAAATAGCTGTTTTTCCATGTGGCCCTGAGAGGGAGGCTCCTATCCCCACTTTACAGGTGGAAAGACTGAGGCCCACAGCAGTAAAGTGACTTGTTCAAAGTCTCACAGATACTGAGTGGTGTGGTCAGAAAGAGATGTGGGTTCCAGGATCTATGGCTTCTATGTTCTGACCACTTAACTGGGAGCATTTTCACCTCAATGCCAAAAGGAAAATCAATCAACAGATTTTCAACACTCAAAATGTTTTCTTTGCCTCCCTTTGACCTCCTTCCTGGTACACACCTAATTGCTACAGCCTGATGGCAGATTTTGAAGGCGTTAGTGGGAGAGAAGGTGGGAAGATAAATACTCTAGAATCCTTTTGTGTAAAAGCAAGACGTTACCCCTCAAGGGTATTCACAACTATTAAAACTAAGCTCAATTCCCTGCCAGGCTCTGCTGGGACACAGGACCATGATGCCCAGACAGTTTCTGTTCCATGTGTCACACTGACACCCTGCAAGCAGAGGTGCCCCAGTCCCTTCATCTTGTATAAAGGAGGAGACTTTGATTGTAAGCACTGGTTTGGGGCCCACCTCCCTGAGCAGATTAGGACACTGCAAAAATTCCTCACCCTCCTGCAGCCTCAGCCTCAGCCTCCCCATCTGGAAAATGGGCTCAGGGTATTTTAAGCACTTAGCCCGATGCCCAGAATACAGACATGCAGCATTTAACTGTGTTATGTTTCACTCTGGCAAACCAGTAACAACAATCACCCCTAATCATAATAACTTGTCATTTACACTCCGCTTGCCCCAGACCAAGCACTGAACAAGCACCGAACAAGCACCATTGTTAAAGCTCACACCCACGCCACAGGGCAACAGTGGCCAGCACCACCTAACAGAGGAGGAATCTAGAGCACCAGGAGATTTAGGGAGTTGCCTACAGTCAGCAGCTGGACTGTTTTCCCAGGTAAGGGGCTATAAACTACACTCTAAAGCATAGTCCAATTCCCTGGGTTCAGCCATGAGAACGTGGCCATACATACCTGAGCAAAGGGGCCAGCTGCCCATCCCCCTGTAGGCCTGTGTACCCATGCAGAAGGCCCAGCTGCCTACCCCCATGTAGGTGCGTGCACCCATGCAGAGGCCAGCTGCTCACCCCCCTGTAGGCATGCGCACCCATGCAGGGGGCCCAGCTGCCCACCCCCCTGTAAGCAGTGCATCCATAGAGAGGCCAGCTGCCCACCCCCCTGTAAACAGTGCATCAATAGAGAGGCCAGCTGCCCACCCCCCTAAAACAGTGCACCCATGCAGAGGCCAGCTGCTCACCCCCCTGTAGGCATGTATACCCATGCAGAGGCCAGCTGCCCACCCCCCTGTAGGCATGTGCACCCATGCAGGGGGTCCAGCTGCCCACCCACCTGCATGGTGCTGATGCAGAGGCTCCTGTGAATCACGAACTGGCTGAGGGCGGCTGACCGCTTGTAGCTGTTCCGGCCGTGCACCATGAGCAGCCGGCCAAGATGCTTAAATTGGGTGATGGAGAAGTCTGCAGCCAGGGAAGCCTGTTTTCCTTCCTAAAACCCAATGAAACTGGGCACAGTCAGGGGCCCGAGAGGTCAAGACAAACACATTTTTTTTAATTGAAAAAGCAAGACATTGTAAGGAGATCTTTGAAGAACTTCAAAAAAAGAGATTCTTTGGTTTCAAGCTATACTCAGTTGGTGGCCCAAGTCTAAATCCGATTTTAAAAGAGGAATTTACTTCAATAAAAAAACATTCTGGACCACAGATAGCTATAATTGGGAGGTCAAGTGGATCAAATATTAAGCCTTTGGGGCTCGGCACATCCCACAAATGGCAAAAGAAATAAAAAAGAGGTGTTTTTATAACATTCAGTTTCCTTACGAGGTGAACATGAGGCAAAAAACCTGATGTGACTAAGGACATCACAGGGGCTGCTGCTGAGCACACAGCTCTGCACATTTCCAGAAGCACAAATAACAGACAGCGCACAAGGCCATTGTCAGTCTGCAACAGCCTGATGTTCCAGACTCCAGATGGATGCAGCACTCACACCAAAGCCAGAATCTGAACCAAATCAACCCAGCCAACAGGCATCGCAGGACATCCTACAACTGTCCTGAATCCTCTAAAAATCATTGTTGGCTCGCATCTGTAATCCTAGCACTCTAGGAGGCCAAGGTAGGTGGATTGCCCTGAGCTCAGGAGTTCGAGACCAGCCTGAGCCAGAGTGAGGACTCTCACTCCCCATCTTTACCAAAAAAATAAAAAGCCAGGCATTGTGGCGGGCACCTGTAGTCCCAACTACTGGGGAGGCTGAGGCAAGAGAATGGCTTGAGCCCAAGAGTTGGAGGTTGCTGTGAGCTAAGATGCCACAGCCCTCTACCAAGGGCCACAAAGTGAAACTCTGTCTCAATAAAATAAGTAAAACTTAAAAAACCCTCCAAACTAAAACAACTGAATACAACATTCAAAATAATAAATAAGTAAATAAAAATATCATTGTTAGTCAGGTGAGGTGGCTCATGCCTATAATCCCAACTCTCTGGGAGGCTGAGGCAGGTGGATCTTTTGAGCTGAGGAATTCAAGACCAGTTTGAGCAAGAGACCCCTTTTCTACTAAATATAGAGAAACTAGCCAGGCATGGTGGCAGGCACCTGTAGTCCTAGCTACTTGGGAGGCTGAGGGAAGAGCTGGAATTGCTAAGAGCTATGATGACACCATGGCACGCTGTCCAGGGCAACAGGGTGAGACTCAGTTTCAAAACACAAAACAAAATTACACACGAAAATAATATATAGACATGTGTAATCATGTGTGTATACGTATATATGACAAACACACATACTTGCAATGGATAACTTGTACATAGAAAAAGAATTGGCGGGCTCAGCGCCTGTGGCTCAAGTGGTTAAGGCGCCAGCCACATACGCCTAAGGTGGCGGGTTTGAATCCAGCCTGGGACCGCCAAACAACAATGATGGCTGCAACCAAAAAAATAGCCAGGCATTGTGGCAGACGCCTATGGTCCCAGCTACTTGGGAGGCGGAGGCAGGAGACTTGCTTGAGCCCAGGAGTTGGAGGTTGTTATGAGCTATGATGCCACAGCACTGTACCCAGGGGGATAGCTTGATGCTCTGTCTCAAAAAAAAAAAAAAAAAGAAAAGAAAAAGAACTGGCAGAATAACCAAAATCCCTAGCGTGATGCAACTATCTAAAAGCAAGGCTACGTTTCTTTCTAAATTGTTTTAATTTTTTTGTAGGGAGCCCTTATCACTTTATACTCCAAAAAAATAAAAGAATCAGAATATTACTTTTGAATAAAAGAGGAAATGTTTTAGTTCTATACAGGAACTGGTAAAGAATTCTATCAAACTCAAGTGTGCTTCTTTTTTTGTTTTTTTTTTTTTTGAGATGGAGTCTCAAGCTGTCACCCTGGGTAGAGTGCTGTGGCATCAGCACTCTTGGGTTTAAGCGATTCTCTAGCCTCAGCCTCCCAAGTAGCTGGGACTACAGGCGCTCACCACAACGCCTGGCTATTTTTTGGTAGGAGTTGTCATTGTTGTTTGGCAGGCCTGAGCTGGATTCAAACCCGCCAGCTCTGGTGTATGTGGCGCCTTAGCCACTGAGCTATAGGCGCCCAGCCTCAAGTGTGCTTCTTAAAATCGGGAAATCTATACAGATTTCCAACAAGGCATCTGACTCAAGAATCATCTAGCTCTGCAGCTTCAAATAATTGCATCAGGCTGAGAACCAGAGAGCCAGAAAGGGTAAGAAAGGGGAAAATCGGGCCTACGGGTTAGCCAAATTCACGGAGATAGGCCATGAAACGTAGAGAAGGCATTTCCTGTTCTCCCTCAGGCCCTTGGTACTCTTAGTTCACACACAGGTCTAACCAATGTGGTGACCGATCTTCCTGCCTGTAGTCACTTAGAGATCACAAATTAGAGAGGGCAGAGTAAATCAGAAGCAGCAAGCACACAATTGGTTAGAAGGGAAAGACAGAAAAATTATTACACAAAACCATTAAAAAATTATAGCTAATGAGGTCTTTTAGTGAGAGGTAAACCTGGTCCCTTTTCCTATCACCCCAAGAGACCAGCACCCAGCAGGGTAACGGACACTTTCACTGATGATGCTGGACCTCAGAAAACAATGAAGTACATTCGCAGCACCCAAGAGTACAGAAAAGTGTGTGTGTATATTTTTTTTTTCAGGTTTTGGCAAGCAAAAAAGTCAGCATTTATCTGACTATGAGAGAGTGATATGAACCTCTGACTTCCAGGGGATTGAGATACATCCTTACGTTTTATAATTCTTATCTGAAAGATCCAAAAGCATCAAAGGTATGTCTTGGAGGCAAAGAGAACACAAGAAACCCAGGTAGTGGAGCAGAGCAGAGGGGAATGTGCTCACCTTTCCTTCCACGCCGACTCCGCAGTCTGATTCCTGGATCATACTGACATCATTGCCACCGTCACCTGTGGGCCACAGACCAGAGAGAGAGGACGACCCCTGTATCTCACTCTCACCTTAAACAATAAAATATATTGGCCTTTCATGGAGGGCCTGGTGTAAGCACCTTGCCTGCACTGCTCTGTTCAGTCTCCCCGACCACTCACACCCTCAGGATCCTAGTTCACAGCACTATTTTACTGAGCATTGGAGAGACCAGGCGACTCACATGGGGTCCTGGCATTGAGCAATGGACCCCATCCACGTGGATGTCTGCAACCACCACCCTCTTTTGAGGCTGGGGTGGGTGTGACATCACCATCAGCAACAATGTGCATGGCTCACACTGAACATCTGCCCTGCACTGTAGCAAGCACTTTTGAAATGCAACTCTCTTCCATCCCTGTAAGCACCACTCGAGGAAACCACTGCTATTATTCCCATCCTACTGATGGGCAAACTGAGGCTCGGATGGGTGAAGGAAGCCACTTAGATTTGAATCCAGATCCACAGCATGTGGTCCGCATCCTTCTGGAACTCTCCCTAGCAAGGTAGAAGATGCCGTGGGATATGGTTATCTATTCTCTCTCCAAGGAGAATATTAAAAATAATAACACATCCTATAAGGGTACATGTGAATCTCTCTAAACGTAGAAGAATATAAATGTCTTTACACAATAACTAAGAAAAAGACATGAAGGCTATGTTAACCGGTTGGATGAAAGTATTTCAAATTGCATATAGAAACAGTACACTATACCCCATCAGTATTAATTTACACAGCTATGATTTAATAAAAAAAAAGGATTAAGATAACCTTTAAAAAATAAATAAATAAATAAAAATAATAACAAAAGGAGAGCCGAGGTCATCAGCACTTGAGCAAAGCAGCCTGGGGAACTGAAGGACTCTAGCAGCACAGATCATTTATACTTCTCCAAGTACCTCCTGGGCACCCGCAGCAAAGCCTGTTGTCTGGGCCAGGCAGCGCCTACCTACTGCGAGGGTCAGCTTCCCCATGTACATGCGGTGCCTACCCACCATGGTTTCTGTGAATGCCCAACACATGCTCACCTACCACACAGGTCAGCTTCCCTGTGCACACCTAGTGCCTACCTACTGCGCAGGTCAGCTTCCCTGTGCGCTCCTGGAGCAGGCGCACGATCTGGGCCTTCTGGGTGGGCGCGCAGCGGCAGCAGACCACAGCCGGGCACTGGCAGGCCAGCTCCATAAACTCGTACTCGTAGAACTTGAGGCAGACCTGGAGCAGGTGCAGGGAGAGAGGGCAGGTCAGCCAAAGTCACTGCCAGCCTGCAGCATTCCCACTGCAGCAGGAAGAGGACCAGACTCCAGCAGGGTGAGTGGTGGGGGATCCCGAGCTCACCTCTAGGGAGTCCCCAGAGATGACCAGGGCGCAGTCATGCTTCCTGCGGAAGGCGTTGAGCTCTAGGTGGGCCTCCCCGCGGTTGGTCACCTAAAAGGGAACGGGAAGATGGAGAAGGCGCAGCTCTCTGAAGGTTAGAGAACAATGAGCAATGGCTTCCTGGAGCTGGCGTGAAGGCAGCAGCCACCCCAGCCAAGGGCCCTTCCCCGCTGTCCCCCAACAGACCCCGAGCCACACGAAGCCCCGGCAGTCACAATTCTGCAGGATTTAGGAGAGCCTGTAGACCCCCCTCACCCTCCATTTCCCCCGAGACTAAAAATGACCATCTCTCGTCACATGCCAGGCATGGTGCTGGGCATTTTTCAAGGATTTTCCTCATTTATTCCTCAGGAAGGCTCCAACAGGTGCATGATGATCACAAGTCTCTTCTACACTTAAAGAAACAGAAGGCTGGTAAGGTGTGTCAGCCTGCCTGTCGTGACGGGGCCGGCTCACGGCAGAGCAGGTGCTCCCAGCCGGGCACCCCATGGGGTGACCCACTCCTGTCAAGCACCAGAGGTTAAATGGCTCAGCCTCGGTGGACCATCGAGTGTTCACCACAAATGCTCGACTCTGTTGTCGTTCAGAAACAGCTGTACACAATACTTTAAGGCAGTGTGAATGTCGACATCGAACAAACTAGGTACTTTTTATTTACAAAAACAGGGGGGACTGTCGCATGGGCCACAGTTTCCAACCCCTGAGTTCCAGGATACAAGGTCAACTCTCACTGTTGGTGTAGCTGTGGTCTACGATGTCACTGCAAACGCAGAGTTACCAAGTACTAAACCACTTACTGCTGTAGGGAAATACAGAGTTATTAAGTTCCTGGGCGCCTGTGGTCACACGACTGCCATCCATGCGGAGCCCTATTCCTCTTTAAAGGCACCTTAATCCGTGAGCACCGAGCTCACACCCGAGAGCAGCTCACCTAACACACACATTTTCCCCGTAAGGCACGTGGCAGCCTTCTCGGCTTGGGAATGTGGTATAACCCTTCAGCGTTGTGCTCGGGACCACTTAAAACAGCAAACAGCCAACAAAAAGCACAAAAATGTGAAAAGCCTGAAGCTTAAATGGACTAGAAAAAGAACACTTGTTTCCAGTCCTGAGAGCTGTGAGGCAGACCATTCACCGCCCTGCGGAGCCTTGGCTGGGATCGTCCATGTCGGGCAACCCACATCTCCCCCATGTCTGGGGGTGGCCATCAAAGTGCTACAAGTACTGATTTCAGGGTCACGGGTAAGTTTCAGTGAGGAGGAAGATTCACAAAGAATCTGTGAATCACGACCATCGACCTCATCTGTCTGCTCTGAAGTCACTGGATTTCTCAAAGCTTCTATGTGCTGTGGACCAATGGCAGGAGGAGGACACCCCCAAACCTGAAACATCTGGAGTCCCTCCGGTTGTTTGACATCATGGCTCTGACCATGATGACCCAGCCCCCTGACCTCCCTTGTACAGGAAAGGGCAGGGCAGCCCTCCCAGGAGCAGCTCCCCCCTCCACCCCCGCTCACGGTTTCTGTGAATGCCCAGCACAAGGGCAGGCAGTTTCTCCTCTGCCACCTCATTCTCCCCCATCAGAGGCTCCCTAACACATCCTAAACAATGTGCCTTCAGGAGGACAGGCAGGCCGGCATCTGTAGTCTGAAATTTCTTCCTTATCCAAGGACTTGGCCTTTGGGGGTCTAGTGAAGTCTCAGGAATCAAGCACAAGTTCACATGGTCAAGCAGGCTTGCCTCTTTCACAGGGTAGTCTCTAACTTACATCAGCTTTGCAAAGGGGACCATGACCCCCACCACGCCCCTCCCAAAAGGGTAAGAGCACAGCACGAGCACAGGGCGGGAACCAGGTGCTCCTAAACCCTGCCAGCAGGAACTCCAAGCCTGCATCCAGGCCACCCGGAGATCCTGCCAAACTCCTCACACCCTGAGTGGTCCACCTGCTTCCCCGTCCCTCGTCAGGGGCCCACTCAAGGTTATGGGGCCACAGGACCAATGGAAGCATCACCTCACTTGGTCCCAACACAGAGAGCCTTACCAGCCGGAAGATGTGGATGTCCTGGTTTCTGGTCACCAGATGGGCATTCTTCGCTGTGCACGTTGCCGTCTCCAGCTTGTCCCCCGTCAGCATCCACACCTGAAATCACAGCACCAGAGAGGTCTGGTTTGTTAGTTTTGGAGGTCGCCTGCCGTCTGCATCAGCTGAGTTTCCAGGAACATTGAGCTGAACTTGTTATGTTCCAATTACCTCCTTGAGACGCGTGGTGTCCCCAACAAACCACAGGAGATGTTCTGGTTTGAGAGCTTTGGAACCCTGACTAACCACTGCTGGTGGCAGCAAAAGGCTGTCAGGTACTTTTAGAATGAGCATCCTTCCACGTGCTACAGGAGGCTCAGGAAGCTCGGTCTTCAGACCTCAGAATCCTTTTCACAGGATTTTCTTTAAAGCAGCAGACACTTCAAGGCTGGGCGCAGTGGCTCACATCTATAATCCTAGCACCCTGAGAGACCGAGGCAGGTGGATTGCCTGAGCTCAGGAGTTGGAGACCAGCCTGAGCAAGAGTGAGACCCTCTCTCTACTGAAAATTGAAAAACTAGCAGATGTTGTGGCAGGCACCTGTAGTCCCAGCTACTTGGGAAGCCAAGGCAAGAGGATCACTTGAGCCCAAGAGTTTGAGGTTGCTGTGAGCTACGACACCTTGGCATTTAACCCCAGGGTGACCAAGTGAGACTCTGTCTCAAAAAAAAGCAGTAAACACTTTAAAAAGAAAAGCCTGTAAGAATGAGAGGTCTCCTCCACGTCCTACAGGAAACACTGATTTATGACACTGCAAACTCTATGTAGCTGGATGCCTGAGGTGGACTCTGCTGCCATTTAACCCTGCCTACCAAGCCCCAACGGTAATGAACTGAGCGCTTCCGTATCTCCTACCAGCTCAGCCTGCATTTCACTGCTGTGGGCTCAGACAGGGTAACGTGACTTGCCCCAAAGCCACACAGTGACCTCGTGTCCTAACCGGGCCAGAATCTGGGTCTTCCGAGTCCACATGGAATGTGCTTCCTGCTCTGCTATTCCACCTCATTAACCCTTTTGTTCTCTTTGCTCCCAACAAGAAGTATTAGAAACCTGGGCAGTGGGGGACACGGGAAAGGAAATAACAGCACACGCTCCTGGAGCACCCGGCATGTAGGCTCACCTGCATTCCACCTTTACAGTAACTTTTGTTACAGACGGGAACAGAAGCATCACTTGCCAAAGGTCCCAGGAGTGAGCAGAGGGGCAAGGTGGGGACCCAGGCAGAGAGGGTCAGCAGGAAGCACCGGGCACTTCTGGAGCTGTGCCAGATTTTGGCAGGAGAAACCCACTTTGGGGCCTGAAGATAAATTTCTTTTACGTGATCCTGGCTTAGTGCTACTTCAGAGATGATGTCAAAGAACAAAGCCAGGAGCTGGGGACTCAAGTTCTAGAAAACTATCAGGTGCACTCCTCAGCTGACATCCCACACAGGATGACAGGAAGGCGCCACGGGGCATATTGAGACCCCAGCTCCGGTCCCAGCACAAGAAGCCAGGGCTGCCTCGCTCTGCCTCCGTTTCTGCACCTAGACGAGGGGCTGAAGCAGCAAGTTTCCTGTGAACGATCACACCTCAGACCATAGGTACAGACCACCTCACCCTGCCCCTGAGATCACTCTTCCCCTTGTATGTAAAGGGGGACACCAGAAAGACAGGTTGTGGCCACACTGTGGAGTAGAAACACCTCGTCTCGGGGACAGAAGCAGCTTGAGAAAGAGGAAACGTCCAGGACAAAGCTGGAAGCGGAAAATGGAATCTCAAAACTCCAAGAGCAGGAGCCTTAGAAATACCCGGTGTTCAATTTCAAACCCCACAGTGCAGGAGGAATGGGCCTCCAGCCACCAGAAAATCAGATCTTGCTGGTGATTTCCCTGTGAAGAACTAAGCCTGTGGCCACAGGGACGAAACAGAGCTTGGTTTACAAGGAGACATGCACGTGAGAGGCCAGTGGGCCTGAATGCAGCCTGGTGTCTAATCTGTCCTCCTCATAAGGTCCTGCTGAGAGGACAGCCCCAGGGGATGCCACAGAGAGCTGCCTGGGAGCTGAGGCCGGTGACAAACACACTTCCTCCCGGGTCACTTGGGCTTGCAGAGAACCAGGTCCCCAGACGCCCCCTGCTGGCCTCTCCAGATTCAACTACGGGACATACTTTTTGGGTCCTCAACCATAAATTCAACAGTTGTTTCTCTGCCCATTGGTCAGTCACTTAGCCACACCAACAGGCCAGATGCTGCCTGCTCAGCCAGACCATACCAAGCAGCTAGTGTACGCTGGACTCCACTTGACACCAAGCAAGGGAGCCTGGTTGGTCACGGAGGCCCCATGGAATAAAAGCAAACACCACTCACATCTCCTCAAACCAGGGCCCATCACAGAGGGGACACGCCTGGCTTCCTCTCGGCACCCACTCGCCTCTGCTCTGCTGTCGGGTAGTTCTGCAGGCCCTCCCCATGCACCCAGGCCCCAGCAGGCCCACCCCACCTTGATGCCGGCATTCCGCAGGGTCTCCAGGGTGGGCCGCACATCTGCCTGCAGCTGGTCCTCCACGCCCGTCAGACACAGCAGCTCCATCTCCATCTCCAGGCTCTCAATGACCGTGGCCACTTTGAGGGAGCGGTCATGCACACTCAGCTTGGCCTGGACATAGCGGGCCTGGGACACAGCAGACGTGGTCACCACTCAGGGTGGGAGAGGCAAGGCTGAGGCTGCTAGTGGAAGGGTTGTCCCTGATCCCTACCACAGGCAAGTGGGCTGGGACCCCAATGGGTCGAATGGGCTTCCCAGCTGCTCCCAAGTCACGAGTGTAGATACCAGAGCTGGACAGGCCTGAGCCCCGCCCTGTGCTCCAGGCTCACCTGCTGTGAGACTTTCAGCAAGTCACTTAACTTCTCTGAGCCTCATTTGCTTTTGTGCACGAAATGTCAACAACAGCCCCCACCTTACTGGGTTGTCTCAAAGATTAGCACAACCCAAATTCTGATATCACAATAGGTTCTCCCACACGCCACGTGTACTGTGGAACCCAAACTCTGCATCACCAGGTTTTCTAAAAGACAAAGTCCCACTTCTGAAGACCATAGACCCTACTCTTCTGTTGATTCTCTCTATATCAGCAGTTCTCAACCTGTGGGTCGTGGCCCACAGGAAGTGTATTAAAGGGCCACAGCATTAGGAAGGTGGAGAACTCCTGCTCTCTATCATGTTAGAAAAAACCTGGACAAAACCCTAAAATCCCCAGAGGGACCCACTCAAAGCATATTCTTTTAAAATGGAAATGCAGGTAGCATTCATCAGGCGGCAGAACTCTTGTTAAATAAAGGCTTACAAAGAACCCATACAAATAGAGTGAGACCCATGTGGTTTCTCTGGGGACTGCAAGGCAGTAAGGCACCCAGTAACCCTGCGTTCGTGCACTTCAGCTTTATGCCACATGCCAGTGACACAGAGTGGACAAGGCAAGGACCCTCCCCTCGGGGAACACGCAGTCTACGTGACAAGATGACATAAACAAGTTGGTGATCTAGTTCAACTCCAACATTTTTACACTGAAGAAATTAGGGCTCCAAAGGGGAGAGGTATGCCAAGTTTCCCTTAAGAAGTGCTATGTGCTGAGGAACATCCTAAGCTTTGAGGATGTAAGAATGAACCAGACTGAGAAATGTCCCTGCCCTCAAAAAGCTCTGATTCCAGAAAAAAGACAGGTAAGATGAAGGTTAAAAAATATAAAGAAGGCCGTCTATAGATGGTGGTAAGCACGATAGGAAAGGTGGAGGGAAAGTGATGTGTGTGGGGGGGGGTGGCACAGACAGGTAGTCCAGGAGGGGGTCTGGAAGGAGGCAGCATTTGAGCTGAGACCTCCCCCCACCAAAATCAAGGGAGTGGGACATGGAGGCCTGTGGGTGTCAGTCAGAGAGAAAGTACATGCAAAGACCGAGGGACGGCTGGAGAGAACGAGCCGGGGGGACACCGCAGGACACATGGCTGAGGAGGTGGCAGGGCTACAGAAACGAAGGAGAGGTCCCTAAACAACTCACCTCGAAGTCTTGATACTGCTCCTCTGCTAGAGATTTCTTTGCCACCACCAGCACGCGCAGCCCTTCACGGGCCATGTTGCCACACTGGAAAGTAAACAGAGGTCAGTGAGAACCACGCAGAGGGCTCAGCCCCAGAGACCCCAACTCTCACTGGGGAGGGCCCAGATGCTGACGTGGACATGCCCTTCCCAAGGGGGACAGGGAAAATGGGAAGTCAGAAAGTCACTGTTCCCTAAAGCGATCTTCTGAGAAGTGAATCTCTCACGGGGGAGGCGGCAGAGCGGCAGCCCATGGGCATGGGCGCAGTATATGTGCTGAAATTTAAGTCAACATCGCAAGACTTCACACATACATCTGGACTGCTGAGAAAGACTGAACATCTGACAAAATGACATGCACGTTCCCAAATAACCACAATCTGATGGCTGAGAAGTGGCTGCCTCTTTGTGTTCCTAGAAAATGGAGCACATTCCTGGACATTCAACGGGAAAGGTACAACACTGTCAGAAAAACACATCCAGGCCCATTTAGTTCATTTGTGTTTCCTGCCTGGCTCCTGCAGGCCTTAGGGTGTGTACAACCCGAAATTGGAAACACTATGTTACTGAGTTACTAAACATGACTAGTTATGATGTTACTGAAACATCGTCATCTGTTTACATCATTGTTGCACAGTGCCTAGCACAGGAAGCTGCACTGGAGCAGAAAGAGGGTGTTTGTTAGTTACTAAAATGTGGATCCCCTTTCTGGAGCTGAGAGATAGGACAAAAATGGCCCAAGAAACCTGAATGCTCTCTCTTTCCTGCCAGGCTGGCCAACTGTCCATATCACAAATGGGATAGGCAGCCTCAGATGTGGCACCCATGATCCCTACCTCCTGGGACTCCATGCTCGTGTAATCACCTCCTCTTTGAGTGTGCACTAGACCTAGTGACTCATCTGAAACACACAGACTGAGGCACAAGTGGGGGGATGTCACATCTGGGATGAGGTTATCAAAGACAGTGATGCTCCCTTACTGGTTCTCTCCTGCCCCCTCCTTTGCTCACTTTGATGAAGCCAGTTGGCGGGTGATGGGCTTCCCTATGGAGAGACCCACATGGCAAGGGGAAGCGGGCAGCCTATGGCCAACAGCTGTCAAGAACCTGAGGCCCTCAGTCCAACAACCCACAAGGAGCTAACTGCTGCCACAACCACCAAGGGACCTGATCCTGCCCCAGTTGAGTCTTAAAATGAGACTGCAGCCCCTCATGATACCTTGACCACAGACTGTGGGTGAAGACCCCTGAAGCAGAGGACCCCACTGAATCAAGCCTGGATCTCTAACCCACAGGAAGCACAAGAAGAAAATTTGTATTATTGTAAGCAGCTATATTCCAGAGAGAATTGTGACACAGCCATAAGTAACAGAGACACACCTTACTGTCCATGCAAGGGTCTGCCTCTGCAGAACGCGCTTCCGAGGCCTGGTTTTAACTCCCCCCATCAAGCTTACCTCTTCCTCCAGCCAGTCGTTGTACTGCACGATGCCAGCCATGACCACATCTGCTCCCTTCATGTAAAATGTAATTTCTCCAGTTGATTCATCCTGCAGAGAGGGGCCAAGAGAAATGAAAAGCTGAAAGGAGCACCCTCCTCCTGCCGCAATGCCCGGGTCCCGTGACAGGGTACAGGGTGCACCGAACAGACACGAATGCATTTTTCACTTGGCCAAAGATGAAAAGTAAGCAGGAACCTCGCTTTGGAGCAAAGGCTGCAGAAAGCAGAAGAAACTCAAAGCATTTGGGAAATTACTAAGTGATGAAAACAAGCTCAAAAGGATTTAAGCCCCTTTTTGGGAATTTTTACTATTTAAACTGCAGATTTCCATGTTGTAAGTTAATTTTAGGTTTCTATGTAGGACTGCCAGTATCATCAAACTGTGGCCCAGCGAAAGAACAGGGAAGGTCATGACCTAAACCAGGGTCTCTCAACCTTAACACTGTGAACATCTGGGCCCAGATGATTCTTTGCTGGGCGGGGCCCTCTTGGCATTGACTGTGGATGCCCCTGGCCAGATGCTAGTAGCAGCCCCCTGGTGACAACCAAAGGGTCTCCTGGGGGGGCAAACTGTCTCAGTGGAGAGTCACTGATCTAGATAATTCCAGACGCCTATGTCTATGTGAGGACCTACCTAGAACTCAGATCGCCCAGAGTTTTAGTTCACCCTGACCCAGCTTTGTGGGAAGTGGTTGACACCCCTGCACAGGCACCAACATCTGAACCTGGAGCCCGTCCCTAGCTGTGTGCAGCTGCACAAGCTACTTGTCTTCCATAAACCTCAGTCTCTCGTGTAAAACAGGAATTCTCGCCACATATAGATTGTTGTGGCTGAACCGAGGTAATTCATAGAGCAGATGGCCCTGGGCCAGACACACAGAACATGCTCCCCAGTGGTGTCATTCCTATTAGGACGAGAGTTAACTTCGCAAGTCCCTTGATCAAGAAAAACAAAGCTTAGCCCACTATTCTCAATGACACCAATTCTGCCCCCCAGAGAGCACCTGGCAACACCTAAGGATGCTTTAGGTTCCCACACTGGGGGCCACCTACAACACAGGATAGCCAAGAACGCCCCAGGCCAAGACTACGAAATCCTCAATAATTTGAGTTACAGGAAGGTGGGAGGCAACAGACACAGCCAGAGCATGGCCATGAACCTTCTGCTCTAATTTTACTACCCCAGGAAGCCCAGAAGAAACACCTCCAGCACCTTCAATGAATATGAAATAAATACCCAAAGCCAGGGTCAGACACTGTGCCTCACACCTGTAATCTTAGCACTCTGGGAGGCTGAGACAGGTGGGTTGTTTGAGCTCAGAAGTTCAAGACCAGCCTGAGCAAGAGGGAGACCTCTATCTCTACTAAAAATGGAAAAAAATAGCTGGGCATGGTGGCACATGCCTATAGTCCCAGCTCCTTGGGAGGCTGAGGCAAGAGGATTGCTTGAGCCCAAGAGTTTCAGGTTGCTGTGAGTTATAGTGATGCCACAGCATTCTACCCAGGGCAACAGAGTGAGACTCTGTCTCAAAAAAACCAAAAAACGAACAAGCAAAAACTATATGAAAGAAATACCCAAAGTCAAATTAGTGGTCTAGTTTCCTCTTTTAAAATAACTTTCAAATGCCCTCCCATCATCGACAATCTTCTAGATCAACACGCTGACTCATAAAGCACCGGGCCAAGATGAGGCGCCCACGTTTTAAAAGCACACGACTGCACGCTTATCTCGGATGGAGCGCTGCTTGGGCTGCCTGCGGCTCGGACCAAAGACAGCTGTGGGGTCTGAACATGAGAGCATCAGAGGTTTTGTTTTTTTCCACTCCCCTTCACCCAAACGATGCTTAACAACATGGCTGTAGGAAATCACGCCCCCAGCCCGGCTTCCTCTCCTCTGGAAGGGGCTCAAGCAAGTTTAGAAGTTCTGTCCAACATAAATACTGTATCATCTGTCTCCTCCCATGACTCATTTCCTCCCACCGAGTTCATCACAAGTTTATTTCGTTCCCATATTATGGCAAGATTACGCCATAAATTTACAGAGATCGGCTGGCTGTGTGGCATTGTTTGGGGGCCTCGTCTTTTCCCCACTGGGGTCTGTTTCTGGCGCCTGCTCAAAGGCCTCCTTTCCTCCACCACTGACAGCGCCCGACCTCTACCAACGAAGCCCGCTTCATCGTTCACGTAAGAAAAGGGAGAGCGCCTTGGAACATCAAGACCAAAACAAAACAGAGACACAACCTTCCTCCAGAAGGATGCATACACAACCCCTCAAAATTGGCTTCTTGGACCTTCCTGATTTCTCAGCAGACATGCAAAGAAATGATCTTGCCTTGTGGATGCGGGAGGATGCTGCCATGAGCTCACACGTGTCTAAAAGGGTTAATGAAACCAGACAGGACACAGCCAAAGTGGAGCTGTGCACGGTCACTAAACCAACTAGAGAGAAGTCTGATGATGAGCTAAAACTTCTCACATCAGGTAGGTGGACGGTCGTTTGCTATACACGCGGGTTATAGGAACACACCTGAGCAGGGCTTCTCAGCCTCAGCACAACTAACACACAGGGCCAGGTCATGACAAGCACTACATGCGGTGCCCACAGCACCCACCCGCCCCCGACCTGAGCTGGTGACAACCACGAATGTCTTGAGACATTTTCAAAAGCTTCCAGGACGAGAAACACCCCATTACGGGAGCACAGTGAGATCGTGCAAAGCAGAGAACTGGTCCAGAAGTCCTGGACGCTGATGTCTACCCACCCAAACCAAAGACAGAGGTTGGAAAACGAAAACAGTTGGCAAAACAATACGTGTCTCATTAAAGACCGCCTTGCAAAGATGGATGCTTAGATGGTGTTATTTTTAGTAGTTAAAAATGAGAAACAGACTAAGCAATCAAAAAAAAGGAAAAGTTAATGAAATAGTGGTTGTCTTTCACAAAACACCAGGCACCGACTTAAATATCATTAAAATTATATTGAATGACTGGAGAAAAATTCTTATCACATACATAAAGTTCACGAGGTAGAAGTTCCGAAAGCCGTGTGTGATGCTAATTTTATGAAAACGTGTGTGGAGGCTCAGCGCCTGTGACTCAAGCGGCAAAGGCGCCAGCCACATACACCTAAGGTGGCGGGTTCGAATCCCCAGCCCGGGCCCGCCAAACAACAATGATGGCTGCAACCAAAAAATGGCCGGCGCTGTGGCGGACGCCTGTAGTCCCAGCTACTTGGGAGGCTGAGGCAGGAGACTCGCTTGAGCCCAGGAGTTGGAGGTTGCTGTGAGCTGTGATGCCATGGCACTCTACCCAGGGGGATAGCTTGAGGCTCCGTCTCAAAAAAAAAAAAAGAAAAGAAAAGAAAACATGTGTGGATATTTAAACTCTCTATTCTTAGAAAAAAGCCTGAAAGGAAGTCCCCTGAAAGGGTAAGATTCATTGGGTGGTGGAAACGGAGATGAATAATCTTGCTCCCCTTCCGCATATATTTATTTGTTCTAAATGCTGATTTTGTTATAACCAGGGAAAGGGGGAACACTATGTTAAAATAAAGATAGATTTGCTCCTCCGACATTATCCCATACCTGCAAGCAGAGTCCCTTCTCTTGCTATGGGAAGATATGTGTCACATCTCATAAAATACGACACGTGTCTGAGAATGAAAGTCCTTTACAACTAAATGAAGGGTGGTATACATCACTCACTTATTCTAGAATGTATGGTATTGGGGATAATTTGATGATGATTCAACCCTCAGATGACCTCAGCAGAGCCCATGGCCCTAAAACTTAAAAAAATAAAGGCTGGAACACAAAGTGATTCCATAGGAGGCGATGACTTTCACCCGCCAGGAACACCCACCCACAGGGTCTATGCGGCTGCTTCCAGACCATGATGTTCTTGACACCAGATGTGTCCTCCAGATAGGGTTGGGAAGCCAGGGGTCCAGCAGGTGTGGGCCTGTGGGAAGGGCACAGCTGCGTGGGAGAAAAAGCTCCCTCCCCACCAAGAGTTGCCAAGGAACATGTCCTACAGAGTTTGAAAGTTTCTACTGGCATCTGGACATAAAAATCCTTTCATATGTGACATTTCAAAGTACATTCATGGGGCGTGTCACTGGCTCATCTGTACAGCAGCTGTGGTGCCGCCTCTGTCTTCTCCCTGCGTGGGCAGCCTTATGACGACTTGCAATGGTCCCTACCTCCTGGTGCTCAGGCCATGGTGCCAGCCACTCCCTTGGTGTGGGCTTGGACCTCGTAACTTACTTCTGGTAACAGCATAAGGCTAATGCAGGGGATGTCACTCTGAGATTGGGTGACGAAAGACTGTAACTTCCATCTCACTCTGGTGAAGTCAGCTGACACTGAATGACCTACACAGAGGCCCATGAAGCAATGAACCATGGGCAGCCTCCAACCAACAACAGCCAGTAAAGAACTTGGGCCCTCAGTCCAAAAACCCGCCAGGAGCTGAACTCTCCCAACAGCACAGATGCTGTCTGGACACAGACCCTGCCTCTGTAGAGCCTTAGCAGCAGCCCTGGCTGATTCCTGAACCCAGCCTGTGAGAGACCCAGCCAAGCCACATCCAGATTCCTGGCCCACAGGAACTGTCCACAAGAGGCACACAGTAAAATCCCCTTATCAAGACCGCCTGTGGGTGCCTGAGACAGCAGATAGTACTGAACACTATATATGCTATTTTGTTTTCACGCAAGGTCAGGCAATTAAGTTTGTCAACTCATCCTGGAAAAGATGCTGCATCCCTCACTACTGAGTATCACTACAATCACCTTCAAAGTCTTCCCCTTGGGAAGCTACGTCCTGATGCCAGCTTAGTTCACAAAGCACTTTTGCTAGGATGAGTCTGTGAACGTAACCAGAAAAAAACAGTTCCAAAATTGCTTTGAAGCGGGGACTAGGGGCCGGCATCACTGAAGACCTTCCCAAAGAGAGTCCTCGGAAGGTGATCAGAGTGAGACGCAGCGGTGAGGCGGGGGCACTTTTTCTAGGATGGGTTCAAACCTCCTCAGACCTTATACACATCTATCACAAAGCTTAATTCACACATTAGCCTCAGTAAGAGATTAACAACAATAACTAATCAAATACAATAATTACAACAATACACTGTGATAAAAGTAAAACAAGGATTACATGAACACAGCGCTGCAATGCCACGATGGGCGGGCAGTCTAGACAGTGCGGAGATGCTGGACGGGGGGAGATTCACATCCCGGGTGGGTGAAGGAAGGCAACACAAGATTTCATCACACTACTCACAACAATGCACAGTTTGAAACTTACAGATTATCCATTTCTGGAAATAATATTTTAATTATTAAAGTATTTAAATATTTTTGTCCACTTAAATTTTTCTTGTTTTAACCACAGTTGGCGGCAGATAACTGAAACCATGGAACAGGCAGCTGCAGATAAGGGGAAAGAGGGGCCTTTAAGCCATGAAATATGGGGCAATCTGTTACGTAACAATAATTAATACACTGCCCCAACATGACTACGACGCTCTGTGTACTTCTCAGCTCCCTCATCACACGCTGACCCATAGTCTTATCCTAAAGATTATCAGGATCTAAGGCAGAGTTCTCTCTCACCAAGCCAAATAACCTGAAGAACCCTTAAAAACAGGGAACAATCCCAAGCTTAAAAATTAAGGTCTGGGAGTGGACCAAGTAATCTGTACTTTTAAAGCTCCCTTGGAAAAGTGAGTGAAGCTTGAGAACTACTGGATGAAGTAGTTTATGGTTACCGGATTTTCCAGGTTTCCCAGAAGGGAAGTGTGATCTCTCCATGGGTAAAAAAGCAAACAGAAAAATGAGATATTCCTTCAGACTCTCCATTCTGGCAAGACTTTTTCCTCTCTTAAAATGTGTGTACATTTTTTGGACACCCTCTGTATAAAGTTAATGAAACAAGAGAGAATGAGAAACCTGTGACCAAGAAAACGCCCTGTCTATACTCATTAGAACTGTCGTGCCAGAACTGGGCTCTCCATCAGATTGTGGGGTCTGTCCAGGTGGAGAACTGATTTCCCTTCTGCTTAGGAAATTCTGTTCCCTGGTTGGTCTGGGTGACAGATACCACAGTAAAGAGGGCTCTGAAGGGGTCAGGAAAGAACGTCAAGCCCCAGGGACCCATGCAGCTCAGGTGGGGGTTCTGACCACGTGGAGACGACTCACCCTCACAATGATGCCCATGCGTTTGCTCTCGTAGGTGAAGGGGAAGATCTGCAAGATGGTGAAGTTCAGGATCTGGTCACCAGGGGTCCTCAGCTGCATGGAAGACTGGTCTCGGCCCACCAGGGTCAAGCCCACGCTTTCGGTCCACTGTACCAGAGCCACCTAAACATAACACAGGGTCACAGGTCAGACACACCGCTGAGGGTCCTGGTCCATGGGGCACGCACAGGCACACAAGGCAGGGGGCGTCTCAGAGACAGGTGAGTGCAGCAGTCACTGTCCCCAAGGACAGAGAGGGCTCCCACACTCAAAGCTGCCCCTCTGTGGCAGGACAGCGCCATTCCTGCCACTGTCTTGTGCAACGGCTGTTGGCCTCACACCAAGGTAGGGGATCGCTGGCACCAAGGGAGGGCCCTGCTATACCCGGGCCTGGCCACAGAGCTGTAATGTCAGTTATAACATTTTTAACAGAATCAAATCCTCATGGTCCGTGTATTTTTTCCTTTAATCTTGGGCATTTTGTTTCTCCTTCTGAGAATATAACTTGAAACGCTACAGAGGCAACAGTCATATAAAAAGTGTATCCGTGAACAATGTATAGTTTTATATATATTCACAAAGTACTTTTGCTGTCCTCTACATAATTTATTTTGGAACACGTTCCTGCACAGTTGTAAATAACTTATGTACTGTAACATCACTTTTAGTTACGTATAAATAATTAATTAAAATACTAGACACACACACACAAAAAAAGCTGCCCCTCTAACAAGGCACAACTTGGCTTCCCTCCCTCCAGGCTCAAAGCTACACAGCAGAGGCAGGAGAAAGAGAGACCTCACAATCACAGATGGCTTCTGGAAGAATCTGCACCGAGCCAAACACCACAGAGGGAAAGGAGGAGTGGGACAGCGCCATGGTCCTTCACTCCCGGCTCTCCTTGCAGCGACGCCCCCTGGGAGGGAGTCTACAGTGGGCCATTTCTGCGTGTTACAACTGGGCAGGAGGTCCTCCTGGTGCAGGAACACGGTCTTAGCAGGTAGGGGTCAGGGATGCTGCTGACCACCCTACAATGCACAGGACAGCCCCACAACACAGCATCATCCAGCTCCAAAGTCAAGAGTGCCAAGGTGGAGAACACCGCGGGCCTCACAGATGAGGAAACTGAGGCTCAGAGACGTGAATGAAGTGGCCTAAAGTGACAGTGCTGGCATGTGGCAAAGGCCAGGCGGTATACAGTTCCACACCACAACACTCTTCACCTCCAAGAGGCATCATCTGGGTCTCTAATCAGAGCCTCTCACAGCCTCAGTCAGACTTGTTCTACTGAAGGTCAAAAGGCACAGGGGTTGCAAACTCCAGGTGGCCCCTTCCCACAGAGGCAGCTGCCACCATGATGTTCTGTGAAGGGACCATCCCCAGGAACTTGGGCCCAGGGTGGCTAGAGCTTGCAGCTTCTCCACAAATACCAAAACTTTGGACCTGTCCCTGAGATTGCCTAACTTTTAAACCTAAGCAACCAATTTGCATGTTCCAAAAGGCTCAGAAGAAAAAGGCCAGGCAGAGTGGCTTACCCACATATAATCTCAGCACTCTGGGAGGCTGAGGCAGGTGGACTGCTTGAGGCCAGGCGTGCGAGACCAGCCTGGACAAGAGCAAGACCCCATCTCCACCAAAATAGCAAAATTAGCTGGCGTGGTGATGGGGGCCTGTAGCTCCAGATGTTTGGGAGGCTAATGTGGGAGGATCACTAGAGCTCAGGGATTTGAGGTTGCTGTGAGCTATGATGATGCCTGGGAGATAGAGTGAGACCCTGCTCAGGGAAAAAAAAAAAAGGTGAAGAAAACATGTTATAGACTGATCTAGCCTAGGATCTCCAAGGAAAAAAATGAACATAGGAACAGAACAAGGAAGAAAAAGGCCAGGATGGGGTGGTAGAGGCATGAATGGGCCGGAAGCACGGAGGGCGTGCCAGACAGGCTGGAGGCAGCTCGGCTCATTCCTCCCTCAGAACAGCAACTTGAGGCAGGAATGGCCAACTCCACCCAGGGATGGAGAAACACTGGGCAAGGCCAGGGGAGCTGCTCTCAGCTGGCACCCATGAAAAGCTGGGACAGAATCAGTCCCAGATGTAGCTGACTCAGACACCAGGCCCAGGGCAAAGTGCCCTCCCTGGTCATCATGTCCTCTGGAATCACGCAGGCTTGTACTAGGGAGCATATATATCAGCACGTCCTTGGTGGGGCTCCCCTGGCCTGCTACCATCACTACAGCAAGCTGATGGGAGGGGTACCAGGCAGAATAATGGTCCCCAAAGATGCCCCCATCCTAACCCCATAACCTGTGAACACGCGCCCTTACGTGGCAAAAGGGACTTCGCAGAAGGGCCTAAGAGGAAGAACCTTAGTGCAGAGATGATCCCAGAGCAGCCCAGCAGGCCCAGTGAATCACACAAGTCCTCAAAGGGAACTGTTCCCGCTGCAGCCAGAGAGAGACAAGAGGACAGAAGGAGGGTCAGAGAAATGGGATGATGGACGTTGAGGATGGAGAAAGGGGTTGGAAGACAGGAGCTTGGACAGCCCTAGGGCTGAAGAAGGCAGGCAGTCCTCCCCCAGAGCCTCCAGGAACGCATGACACTCACTGCCCTTGAATCCTATCTTAGTTGATCCAACCTACAGAACTGGAGGGAAACATATTGGTTTCATTGTAACACATCAGATATTCAGTAATTCTCCACAGCAGCAATAGGAAATGAATACAGGGGGTTCCTGAGCTCAATGCCAAACAAGCTGACAGTTCATTCTAATCCAAGGACAAAGGCACAGTGTCTAAAAACGATAAAGAGAAGAAGACGTACCCCTTCCCACTTTCCTCCTAGAAAGCTTAATCTTTAGGGAGGAAAGGGGGGCACGTTTTAGGACAGTGTGGACTTAGAGGCCACGGACAGTTACAGGGAGACCCGTACATGGGAGGCCTCGGCTCCACTGGAAATGCTTTATTATCTTTGAATCCAGTAGTGGGTAGACAGAACTTTCTGTATGCCTGAAATATTTCCTAATGATTGCTTCTTTGTTAAAGGTAGCAGAAGGGAAAGAGTCACTTTTGGGGGGCTTCTATAGCAGTCCAGCTACCCCTGTTTTATCAGAGCTCTCTGCAAAAGCTACAAGGAGAACACCTGCGGCTCCACCTGCTCACTGCTGCCGGGTTCTTCATCTCTGCTTTGTCTCTGAGTGTCCCTGGCTGCCCTGGGTATCATGCTGGCTGACCTGCTGTGCCCTGAAGAGGGGACACAAGCTGAACTTCAAATGTGGGGTTCCAGGCCCTGCTCAGCCACCAGCTCCCCTCCCCTGCAAGGCCTCTGTGCAATGAGAGCCTTGAAGTCCAATGACTTCTCACCTCTGTTCTGGTTCTGGGGATGTATCTTTCTATATCCTTAGCCAGCTCTGCTCAGATCTCTAATTCAGCTTCTGTTGCTGATATTAACTGAATTTACATTAGCAAAAACTTATTTTTCAAGACTTGATCCTATTGGCCAGGCATGATAGCTCATACCTGTAATCAATCCTAGCATTCTGAGAGGCTGAGGCAGGAGGATAGCAGAGCTCAAGAGTCTGAGACCAGCCTGAGCAAGAGTGAGACCCCCATGTCTGCTAAAAATCGGAAAAATTAGCTGGGCATTACGATAGGCACCTATAGTTCCAGCTACTCAGGAGGCTGAGATGGGAAGATTGTTTGAACCCAAGAATTTAAGGTTGCTGTGAGTCAGGCTGATGCCACAGCACTTTCTACCCTGGGCAAAAGAATGAGACTCTATCTCAAAAAAAAAAAAAAAAGAAAGAAAAGAAAAGAAAGAAAGAAAAGAAGAAAAAGAAAAAAAAGAAAAGAAATCAAAATGGCAAAGCCTATTCCCTTCCCAAAGAAAGAAAGAAAAAAAGAAAAAAGAAAAGAAATCAAAACTGTAAAGTCCATTCCCTTCCCTTCCTAAAATGCCCATCTGAAGAACCCATGCCAGAAACCATCCTTGAAAGGGCTTTTTCATCATTTATTGGTCAGCAATGAACCACCTGTGACAAGTTTTTCAAATGTTCCCTTTGCACCTAGGATGCTGTGCTCGGGAAATATGCCAGCCCACACCTCATAGCCTTGAGCTCTTGTCAAAAGCAGGATACATACTAATCCTAAAAGCATGTAGGATACCAAGACGGGAATCTGACTTCTGATTAAAAAGGGGTTCTTTGGTGGCATCCGGTAAGATAAACACCCAGACTCACAAAGAGCAGCCAGTCAGGCCCTAATCCAGCCTTTCAAGATGATAAATCTATCCACAGCCCTAAGATTTTCTGTACTCTGCATATTCAAAAGCATGCTACATGGTGGTTACAGGTGTGAATACCAACAGCAGGGGTCAGGCAAGCCATGTAGGGGGCCCCCAGGTAAACTGAGGCAGCAGCCACCAACCTTGACCAAGCATTGCCATGGGCCCACCATTTCCAGAGCTAAACTTTCTCAAGAAAAAATCCATTTTTTTATTGACACATAAAATTAGGTGATTTTTAAATATTGCTTCAAGGTATTATTCTTTAACATAGTGTGGACAAGACAGCAGTCATAAAAGGCTACTCCTTGATCAAAATTTTCTGTACTTGAAATTAAACTTTATATCACTCAACTCTGAAAAAAATTAGAACAAAGAATGGCATCCTCCCCCTAAAAATGTAGTCATTTAGAAAGGACTACTCATTCTGGTCCCTTCTCAGCCAACACTAACATTACATGGATGGAACTTCTGCGTCTGTGGCTCGTGGAGGAGCTAAGTTCAAAGAAGGCTCACGGGACAGTTCCCTACGGTTTCCCCAAGACCCTGTCCAGTCCCGCCTCAAACAGCCCCCCTCTCTTCTGAACAATCGTATTTCAAGAGTCTATCTCAGTAGTTAATAAATAACATGGATGGGGCCGTTTTTCCTATAGTTCCTGACCTCTGTTCTGTGACCTACCCCTTGGGTCCGAGGGCATGGCCATGTGAGAGTGAAGCCCCGACATCTCCTAAATCTCCCAGACTCACGGCTCAGAGCTCATTCGCGCACACATCTGAACGCCACTGGTGTCCGGGCCTATCGCTGGGGCTCAGGGTACACCCAGGCATTCGGGGGAACCGTGTCTAT